CCACCCACCCTTACTATTTCCCATCCTTATCACTTGCTATCAATTCCTCATCCAAATCAGCCAAAACTCAGACCAGGCACTAACAAATGAAGATAATATAATTTCTCGAAAACTATGAACAGATCCGAAAATTTACACTTCCCAACACTGGATAATGTTTTTTTTCAAAAGTTATGTAAAAGATGTAATAGAAAAAGAAGCAATTTTGATCATCTTATAACAGAATTATTTTGAAAAAAAAAAAAATATTAATTTAATTAAATTTGGAATAAGTGGCATGGAAAATGTTTGGGTAATAGCTGTTTGAGCTGTTTCCATGCTACAGCAGCTAGAAAACTTGTTATCACATGTCTAGAGAGTTAATGTGAATATCTTGTTTCTGCCAATTTTATCTGGCATGACGGCAGCAGGTAGCAAATACAGTACCACTTCACCTGTTTCTCACTGAGCTGCTTAAACAGAAATAACAGACTGACAAAGATTAAGTCTTAAAATAAAGTCACCTAAGGATCGAAATTCCTGGACCAGTAATCAAAAGTAACAACATCCAGCAACAGGCAAACTAAAATCATTCCATGCCTGTTTCGGATTGTCACAAAATAATCTTAATAATAAGACCAGTCATCAATGGTAATGGAAATGGTAACCAACCTTTCAGCAAAGGATTTAACAAAAACCAATAACAATTTAGCTGATAAGATCAAAATTATATTTTCTAGTTAAAAATGAATGGCATAGACTACATGCCTAAACCACACTCCAGATAAAGATATCATAAGATTCTGATAGAATTCCCAGCCAATGTGGAACCCTGGGCTCCGTAACTGAAAAGCATCGCGAATTGCGGCCGAGCGCAAGCGTCCTATTCCATAACTCGGCATTTACTTGCCCCATGTAATAGCCTCAAAACGAATTTTGATATCGTTACCGCAATTCATGATGCTTTCGAGTTACGGAGCCCCGAGCTTTCACTATGGGTATACCCAATGCTGCAATATTCATAGCCATATACAACATGTTCTCAACCACCCTGTAGGGAAACTTATCAGTTGCTCTCTGATACGTATACATTAAACAAGAAATAACAATGGCGAGGAGAGCAAGACATTAATAAATGTCTACCTGTTTAATGGTGCGCTGCATGAGGAACAGCAAGAATCCTTGATAAATACCAATTAACGGAGAAGTATTATCCCCAAGGGTTGAATTCTTAGGCAATACATCATGTATTCAATATATGCGGGGAACATTTCCACTAAGACTGTATTCAGATTCACACATTGCACTAGCTGTGCCAGTCCAACTCTGCAGAGGATTCTTGCTTAAGTGCAATCAGTGAACTCAGCTTAACTGTCTGTCAGGCCTCCTCAAACTCCAAGGTGGTAATTAACTATTGTGTGCTGATTAAGCTGATTCCACTGATTGCACTTTGGCGAGAATCCCCCAAGAGTTGGACAGTCCCAGCTAGTAAAATGTTTGAATCTGAATGCGCCCTAAGTTTTGATACTGATCAGTGAAAAAATCATGAACCAAGGCAAAATTAAACCACTTAAATATCAATTAGCATTCTCACACTTTGAGTAATACCTGCAGAACTAGTAGAACTTTATGTCAGACATAAGTGAAAGAAATCTATGATAAATACTCAAGTTTCAAGTCAAGCAGCATAAATGAAATTAATAACAAATAAAGAAACAAAATAGGTGAATAAAATATGCATATTCCCTGGGCTGTTATCACTCAAACAGCAAACTTTGTGTCAACTATTATACCTTCGGCTCATAGACTTCATAGCCACCTTTACCTTCACCTGTGATGTTATCAACTATACCACACTGAAAAAATAGTCTTTATCATATCAAACTTTTGCCTTCAATACAGGATGAAAAATATATAACACAACTCCAAGTGCATGTTAAATAATAAATGCATAAATCATACAGAAAGACCTGAAATAAATCCGTATTCCTTCAATCAAGTTAAAAAGCTGGTTTATGCCCATGAGGCAAAATGAAATTAATCAGTGAATGAAAGTTGTCACAAAAATCATGATAGACACATTTTTAATTTGAAACATAGTACGTGCCAATAAAGTGTCATTAGTGAGCCCTGTCAAGGTAGGAAGGAAGGAGAATACATAAAACTTCCAAAGGTGGAGGAGTGGAGATGTGAAAGCTTGTCAGAAAGTGCATGTGTTCGTGAATGAATGGGTGCATGTGTGTGAGCATAAGCACATGCACACACGTGTACGGGTTGAAGGAATTGATGAGTGTTCTTATATGTTTCTAGTGCTGGAAGGGGTACAAATCATAATAATAACTACAGGGGCATGTAGAGGGATTGAGATGTAATAACAAGGCAGCAAAGCTGTCAAATGTACAGACAANGGCTCTTATTTGATTTAGAATGTCAAAAGGTACCCACATGCAAAATTTGGTGCTTTTATCCGCCGTGTCACGATTTTTTCCTTAAGCCACCGGACTAGTTAGCTCACGGCCAACCTGGTCGAAGGCCTTCATCAGACTAACGTGAGTAGTTGTTCACACTCACTGACAGCTAGGTGATATAGCGGCCAGGACCCTCTTATAAATGTCGGGTAGATTAACCCCCGTCCCTATTCATAGATCAAGGCAGCAAAGCTGTCAAATGTACAGACAAAAACAGGAAATAACAAAATAGTCTACTGTCAATTCTGATGCAAAAGTAAATTATGTTAAACTGCAAAATTGTAAGTAAAATGTGTAACAAGCATAAGGCCTCAGGCCCATGGGAGTTCAAGTTCACACTTTGAAAATGTATAACTTCCAGAAAAAGAAGCCAATTAGACTGCTTTTCCAATTCCGGCTGCATTTTAGTCCTGTGTTTCTTTTTTGAAAGTTTGGCAATCATAAGTAACATGGTTTTCCCATAATGGTCATCATGGTAGCAGCACCCAAAATTATGTTTTCTTCTATCCTGATGCAATATTACATAATGGTTAACAGCATAATGACCATCAACTTTTAATAATAAAATATTAGATCATGGATATTCAGATAATGCATGGCCAGAAATGCGCAGCATTCACGCATTACGCGAGGGCGCTACAGTAGGGCTTCACTTGACTCAACTAGCCAATCACAGCACAACAATGTCATCGCACACAGTCTCTGTGATAAGTGCTCAGCCCATTGTCAAGTAGTGTTAGTTCATGGTAACAAGCGTCTGACATGTGCAGAGGAGTTTATTTTAATATACATTGCTCTTATTGTTACATTATTAAATCTAACTCTGTATCCAAGTAGTAACTATACTGTACCAAGTCAGGTACTGATGACGTGGAGAGGTCATATATTCCAGAATAAGCCATTACCACTAATTTATAACTTTAATTTTGTTTAATATGTTATTCATGAAAGAGTTAATGAAAGATTATTTTAATTTGTAAAATCGTGATCTTATTCTTTTTATATTCAAATAATTGAAAAATGTGGGTAAAATTGGTCTTCCACTTCTTATTTGCATTTTTCCTTTACCACAAGATTATTTTACAACAGTTGCGGCATTAAAATGTAAAATAAATAGCAATCTGAAAGAAGAATTTTGCATTATAATTAAATGATGATAGGAATTTTGGATTAAGAGATTAGTTAAATACTGATTAGTGATATTGTCAGTCAATTTATGTAGAATCTGATAATATAATTGAAAATACTGCTTGAATTCTTGGCCTTGCACTGGGCAATTTCACATTTGTGCCAAGTGCTTTTTTGGACTCCTTTGTACAGTGGTAAAAGTTCTTCAATTGCCATGAAAGTTTTTAATCAGACTCTGTATGGTGCTGCTATCTGCTGGTGCTATCGACAACGAATTAGTTTGCCTTTGTTTCTGAGTGAATCTACCGTCTAAAATCACTATTTCTGAAAATATGTGCGTTTTGCTGAGGGTAGGCTAGGGAATACACGGCAAACTTCTTAGTACGTGTGTACAACAGAATTAAAAAAAAAAAAACCCTAGCGATATTTGGTCAGGAGTTGCTTGAAGCATAGCACATCGTTCCTGTCTATCGGCATCAGGCCGTTAGTTTGTCAATTATCACGAATTACCCACGAATCGCGAACCCATTCATTTTCCTATGGCAATCTAGCAACTCATTAAAAGTGCACGCATGCGCAGTGGGCTAAGTGTGACGTCATGCAGGGCATTTCTGGGGATGGTGACTAGCAAAGGTCTTCAGGCCCATGGAACTTCAAAGTCACAACTCGAAAATGCCAAAATGTAGACAGGACAGCACTGTTCTGAAATGTTTTTTATTTTCCATTTTTAACAATTTTTAACATAAAACAAAAATTAACAGTTTACTGCCATTTTTATATGATCAACTAAGAAGATTGATGAGATGGGAAAAATTTCAATAGAGCAGTATTAAATGGCCAATTTCTTTCATTCTGAGATTCTGAACATAGTGAATGATTGAATCTAACAAACTGCAATGATATGAGTTTATTTCCAATTTTAACACTTTATTACACAATACACGATAACAAGTTTACCATCATTTTTACAAAATCAACTAGCAATGTTGTAAAGATGCAGGAAAAGTCAAACAAACACTTTTATGTATCTTATTAGTTAAATAATAAGACTGTTAACATGCTTAAGAATTGAATTTGAGGAAATGTGAAAAAACAGCATAACTTCTAAAACAATGACCCGATTATGCTAATTTTCAAACTCAATCTGCATTTTAGTAAGATTGAGCACTCCTGTGAGTTAAATTACAATTGGCCAATCTGTTTTTCTTATATTGTGTTTACAGTGTTGCAAATAAAAAAAATCAGCATAAATACTAAAATAGTGGCCCGATCATGCCAATTTTCGAACTTAACCTGCGTTTGAGTAAGATTGATTACTACTGTGAGTTTTATGACAACAGGCTTAAGGGTTTTCCTTGAAATATATTTACAGTGTTGCATATATGCTTAAAAAGTGAAAAAAAAAACGCATAATTTATACAATAATGGCCCGATCATGCTGATTTTCGAACTTGACCTGCGTTTTATTAATATTCATCAGCTCTGTAAATATAAAGCCAAAAAGTAAAACTGCCCTCCACTTATCGTGTTTACAAGGAAAGTGCACGGCACCGACGGCGACGACGACGGCGACGACAGACGCAGGTGATGGCAATATGCACAGACACATCAGTGTCTGTACATAAAAAATTAGTTTTGGTCTTAGTTCAAGCTTTGGAGTGCTTTGTTTCATATTAAACTGTTTCAATTTTTCAGTTCGGATCCTGGTTCTAAAGGACAGCAGAAGATAAAGCAAGATGGAATTTTCTTTAAAAAAAAAAATACTATACTCAAGAACTGATCAATATAATTACTATTTGATTATCTTTTTTAAAGACGATTTTCGTTTTATAGATATTAGATCTCGTTGTTTTGTTTAAAGTTTGTTCAGTTATAATAATAGTAATAGTAACAATAATAGCAAGAATATATGGTATTCAATTTTCACCAATGACTGTCTTTATTGTAATACGTTCAACCGAAAATAAAACACACGGAACGAAACGAGCGCTTCCGCCCCTAACACTGTGTCTGTGTTAATACTATAAATATTTTATGTTCGTTTGAGTGTAACGAATTAGAACATAAAATGTATTAGTATACTCGACGTAGTTCCGTCGCGGGAACTCAACCTGCTTGATCGTGTATCATACAAGGGAATTATGTCGTCCCTGAACATACGAACGATTTCATATCTCACATAAATTTACCAGGTGCCAAGGCACCCACTTTGCACGCCGAAAAGACCGGTGTCACGAAACTAATTAAGTCCGTGTAACAGAAAGTCCGCCCTCCACATAATTATAATGGTAAGGGGTGGAATGATCTAAGTAAGTCAGAATCTTAGATGAGGCAATTACCTGTACAAATGAATAGGAAGAGAATTATCATGGGGGACTCTATGTCAAGTTACACTGGGACATTTTAAAGGCAACAGGTAAAATGCAAATAGTAAAAATAAATAAAGGGTTTTTATAGACAGTGAATTCTAAATTAGGAAATATAAGAAATTGTACGGGATAAAATTATGGCTGTAGATCATTCTCCAACGCGAATACTTTACTTTCAAATTTTCATTGTAAAGCCTACCCTAAGCGTCTATGCGGAATGCTTTTTTTTCTTTTGTTTCACTTTTCTATTGATGTCATTTTATGTAAAAACTTGGATCATGCCAATTTTCGAACTTAACCTGCGTTTGAGTAAGATTGATTACTACTGTGAGTTTTATGACAACAGGCTTAAGGGTTTTCCTTGAAATATATTTACAGTGTTGCATATATGCTTAAAAAGTTTTAAAAAAAACGCATAATTAAACAATAATGGCCCGATCATGCTGATTTTCGAACTTGACCTGCGTTTTATTAATATTCATCAACTCTGTAAATATAAAGCCAAAAAGTAAAACTGCCCTCCACTTATCGTGTTTACAAGGAAAGTGCACGGCACCGACGGCGACGACGACGGCGACGACAGACGCAGGTGATGGCAATATGTACAGACACATCTGTGTCTGTACATAAAAAATTAGTTTTGGTCTTAGTTCAAGCTTTTGAGTGTTTTGTTTCATATTAAACTGTTTCAATTTTTCAGTTCGGATCCTGGTTCTAAAGGACAGCAGAAGATAAAGCAAGATGGAGTTTTCTTAAAAAAAAAAATACTATACTCAAGAACTGATCATTATAATTACTATTTGATTATCTTTTTTAAAGACGATTTTCGTTTTATAGATATTAGATTTCGTTGTTTTGTTCAAAGTGTGTTCAGATATAATAATAGTAATAGTAATAATAGTAGCAAGAATATATGGTATTCAATTTTCACCAAGACTGTCTTTATTGTAATACCATCAACCGGAAATAAAGCACACGGAACGAAACGATCTCTTCCGCCCTTAACACTGTGTCTGTGTTTATACTATAAATATTTTATGTTCGTTTGAGTGTAATGAATTAGAACATAAAATGTATTAGTATACTCGACGTAGTTCCGCCGCAGGAACTCAACCTGCTTGATCGTGTATCATACAAGGGAATTATGTCGTCCCTGAACATACGAACGATTTCATATCTCACATAAATTTACCAGGTGCCAAGGCACCCACTTTGCACGCCGAAAAGACCGGTGTCACGAAACTAACTAATTAATTAAGACAGTGAATTCTAAATTAGGAAATATAAGAAATTGTACGGGATAAAATTATGGCTGTAGATCATTCTCCAACGCGTATACTTTACTTTCAAATTTTCATTGTAAAGCCTACCCTAAGCGTCTATGCGGAATGCTTTTTTTTTCTTTTGTTTCACTTTTCTATTGATGTCATTTTATGTAAAAACTTGGACTTCAAAATCGTCTTTGTGGCGTGGTCAAACTTAATCGAATGAAATGTGGTGGCATTGGTTTTCTAAATCCTTGGGACAATGATAACAACCAAGTACGGCTCTCAGAAATAGTTTATGACAACAATAGGATATGCCTTTCCGAAAGGCATGTGGATTAAAGGAAGATGTCCATCCATTTAAACACAAGTCCTGGGTGTGAATTATGGATAATTAACAAAGAAGAATATTCGGCTTCGCCTGCAATTAACACGCATATCCTAGTCACATGAATGACGCATTTCTAGAAAGTGAAAGATATTAGTAGGAAGGGCATAAATAAAAGAAAAAGACAAGGGAGGAAAGTGTGTACATACACATGCTAAGTGTGTGCGCGTGCTCGCGCGCGTGTGTGTGTGTGTGTGAGAGAGAGAGAGAGAGAGGAAAGGAAAATTAGAGAGACAACAAGAGACAGTGATTTACCAATGTAAGCATGTGCACAGGTGAGTGACGATAGCCACGTGTGTATATTTACCTGACCCTCATTGTCATGATTAGCCCTTGAACTGCTACGGTTTCCCATACCGTCACTGCGAAGGAAAATACCGTTAAACGACCTAGCTGCGATGTCATGCACAGTTTAACCAGGAAATTATATCGGATATACATACCTAGGGATGTTATATGACCGTGGCGATATGATGATCACTGAAGCCTGTCCATTTAGCCAAGCTTCAGTGAAGATCGAGGGCAACCTCGAGCCGCTACCAAAAATGTCTCGCTTCACTCGACATTTCTGCGTAGCGTCTCTCGGAGAACACGGATTTAACCTCGATGTAGTCTAGAATTTCACGACTACATCTTGGTTAAATCAGTCGAGGTCTCTTAAATGCTGAAAGCCAAAGTCAGTGATCGTGTGACCTTCTTGGCATCAAGAGAATAGTGACGTTGCTTACGTTATATACCTACCAATAGACAAATTTAAAATCTCTCACACCCTTAAAAAATTAGCATAAACTTTTCACGTTTAACAATTATTAATTATCTTTTTATTACATTAAGTCATGTCATATGGGTATGGTTCGAAAACGGGAATTAGTTAACATTGAAGCCACACGTGTATACAAATTATTTTTAAATCTATAATTTTTTAACGAGGGTTGTGTTATTATTTACCTTTTGTTTTTAAGCTGTTCATTCTTCCTCTTTATCAGATATATTGGTGTAACAGACCGATAGCTCGGGTTGATGTTTCTTTATTGTTATTGTACAAATATCTGCAAATATCTCCAAATATCTGCAAGAGCAATATAAACAAATTAATTTTAAACAATTACATATACAAAATTTACACTGACGAAAGACAAGAAAGACAGAACAAAGAAATAAAAATATAGCAATGCCAAAAACACCATAAAAAATAAATATATCAATTT